CCAGCGATTTTACCCCTTGGCCGCTGGTTGGCTACGGGCAACATGGAGAGGTTACAATAATGATAAAAATAAATATTAAATAAAAATAAATGCATAATATTAATAAAACATCTTAGGCTGCTTCACACGTCGGTTTGTTTCGGAAGAACAACTGTTTGGAACAATTTTTCTGCTTTGTCACAACAGCCAATCATCATAGATCGCTTTGAGGTTAACACAGGGAAAACTGGTTTACCATCACAAACAAGCTGATAGCATTCGGAGCTGATAGCTGATTGGTTGAAAACGGACAACTTGCAACTTTTTTCGAAAGGAAGGAAAAAGTCGTACGTCTTTCTTTCAATAGTAAACCAGGCAGAAAAATTTTCCGAAACAGTTGTTCGTGTGAAACAAACGCCGTGTGATATTGGCCTTATGTGGCCACCACATAATTTTCTTGTACGACCTATTAAATTATACAAAATTTTTGGTGCAGTTCATTTAAACTCATTTCCTAGAATTATTCTAATTTAATTAACCGATCCTTCAAGGCAAGTTTAAAATCACATTGAAAATTTTATGTTGAAATTAAGTACTCCGCTCAATTTTTGTAATAAAAGAGTCAAACCTCTTATAATTTTATTTTTTCGTAACGAATATAAGACTTTCTCAAATATAAGGATAAGAACTGGGAGACCGCATTAAAAGTTAGATTTGCCAAAACATATTATTATGATGATTCATATTTTCGTACCTTAAAACACTGTGAAGTATAACCAACGATACATATATACATATATATATATATATATATTCACCTCTCTCATCCGGCAACTATTCTCGCAACTGTTTATCATAGGCATATATTTCTAAATACAGAAGTGTTTTAAATGATGAAAATATTCATGTTTGAGCAATGTCAGTAAAAAAGAAATATTTGGACAAATAATGAAATCTATCATTTGCTGTTATTTCCCGGTTGTTTTGCTTATAATTGGAAGATTTTATTCTGGTTATGAAAAGATAAAATTACAAGAAGTTTTGACTCCCGTGCGACAAAAACTAAGCGGTCTATTAAAATTTCAAATTTGCAATTTTTGATATCATTTTCAACTTTCGTTTAGAGATCGGTTGATTAAGTTAGAATAATTCAAGAAAATAAGTTGAAATAAATTTCAGAGGGAAATGTACTTAATTTAATAGCTGTTGTTTGCTGTTTTCTAAATATCTAAAATTTATAATTTAGGCATTTGCACAGCAGGCGCTTTAATGTTTCTACACGGGCAGCATAGTTTATTTTCTTTCATCCGATATTTTAAGCCTGCGGAAGTAATATTTTTAAAATATTTGTGCAAAGAAAAATCTCTGAAAATTATTTTGTCCTCAGTTATGTCGTCTTTCTTCTACGTATGTGTTGCATCTGAATAGAATTGGAACTTAAATTGTAGGATTCGATGTACAAATACAGGTTTTACTTTATCTTCTGCCTTAGTCGTCTTTCTTAAGTTTTACCTTTGAAAATATCCAACACGCATTTAAAAGCCTTTTATCGATATTCGTAAGCTTTTCTAACTGTGCGTCAAAACGTAAAGTAATACTTTGAAGTAAATGTTAAATAGGTAAAATAGTCTTTAAAAATCATTAAAAACAGCAGCGTCTTAAATTATAAAAGACACTGATTTTGTAATACCCAATGGCTAACAATATCATTGAACATTCTGGTGTGGGGGAGTGTTAATACAGCAAATTGGCAATAATTAGGTAGTTTTGAACAGTTTTACATATTGTGCCAAGGCCTCATATATTCGAAACCGTTAAACGTTTTCTAAAAATTTATGTAGTAATAAGGTTAATTAATTTACGGAAAATGTATTCGTGGACCGCATAAAATTGTTTCAAGGACCGCATGAAGCCCGTGTACCGCCAGTACCGCACTGCAGTAAGCGTTAACACATCCAGCTAACATATGAATGTCCGTTACAGCACAATTCCGAAGAAGGCACAATGATTTATCACGTTCCTACAATTCGAATTCAGTCATTTATTCACATAATTCGAATTCCGATAAAGACACAATGATTTATTACGTTCCTTAGTTTCGAAAAAATCAAGTGTTCTGCACAGGTACAGATAGAATCTAGGCCAGTACATACCAGAGGTGATTGAAGTATTACTATAACATCCAATGCCAGCTAACATTTGAGTTTCCGCCTCAGTTGGAATTACGAAAGAAAACATCCCTGGGGTGGGGAAGGTTCCAAGAGAGTCCTACTCCTTTTCCCCTACCAACAACAATACAAGAGGATTTCGATTCGCGTGTAATTTGAGTGTTATTACCCCCCACACACTATGCGATCTCCGGAATTCGAACCCGAACGGGTACGGCTGTGAACATCACTAAACACTAAGCCATACAAATCGTCGCATTCCCCTTGGGTACTGTCGTAATTTAAGTGATTCGTATCGAACTAGCATTACAATATCTCTGGTTCGAATCCTAATGAGTGTATAATTCATCTATCATGCTTCATGACTCTTAAATAACCTAGTTTTGTCTACAAACTTAGGCAAAATAAGCTCATGATGCATAAAAGTCCTTGGTAGCAAAATTGAAATTTATTCAAATGCACGACCTGGTTTAAATCTCAAACGAGATAATAACTGATTTAGGATAACGGATTCACACTTCACGGCTATTTATCCCATTTCATCGCTCTTGAAAATTTAATTATATCTACAGACTTAGGCTAAATAAATTCATTATACATAAAGTTCATGGTAGCAAAGTGAAAATTTATTCAAGTGCACAGTAACCATTAAATATCAGGTAACATTCGATTACGTATGAAAATGCTGTTTAGTATTTAATGAGTTAAATATACTTCTTTTCACAGATTAAAACATAAACTTAAAAATGCTTGCAATTATTTAATTAATTGCATTTTGCCATGTCCTTAGAAAAAGAAATACAGCTACGAATTTTGTAAAAAAAATTAGAATAATTCGTTTTGCTGGCATACCGTCTCTCGGCACTAAGCACAAAATATCGTCTAAACAGAAATTCTCAGTTTCTTGTAAAAAATGGTTTAAATTTTAATATACATGAATTAAGAAATGTGCTATACTTGGTTTCATTTTGAGGAGTTTTAAGGTTATTTTGAGGTTATTAACAATTTTAACTTCAGTACAACACGGCATTTGAAATAATGTGAGGAAGTTAGTTGTAAAGTTACGAACGTTACAGAAACACTGAAATACTTTAAAATAGATGAATTCATTGAGAGAGATGCCAAATTAATCAGTAATCTTTCGAAAATAAATATAACATTAGTTACAGAAAACTAACAGCCAGTCTTAATTTCAACACAGCAATGGAAAAAGATTGAAATATTTTGCAAATTATCTGGGACAAGACGTAAATAAACAAATTCAATTAGTCCGATATCTATTAAAATAATCAATTAATTAATTAACTTAATTAGTTACTATATTTACTTTCATATGTTACTATATTTACTTTTTTTCCTAATTTTATCTCACGAAAATGGAGAGGAAACAATTACCGAATAATTTAATTTCCGAATGAAGCCTTTACTTTAAAAATATAGCAAAATGAAAAGCATTCATGGACAAAGTACCAGTAACTTTAACAAAATTATTTATTTAAAAGAAACATCTATTCTAATACGCATTCATGCTATTATTAGCATTGCACTACCTTATAAGATATCTTCATTTCTCGTTCTCTGCATACTTCAATTCCTTCGCTTTTATTATTGTCTATTGCTAAATCCTTGACCTTAAATCCTTTAATTCTGCTGGAACTGATGTTTGTGTCACCTGTTATAGCTTGTAAGCTATAAAAGACGTCACCATCAACATCGTTCTCATGGTTGTCGTCACCATCCTGTCTGGTCTTGCCACGTGCGATGATCTTCAGGACCATCAGGAGCATTCTTTTTTCGAAGATCATTACTATTATTTCTTCATCAGTTAATGCTTATGCGCTCAAAATCCAAGTACTCTGACATTTCTACTTACACAATTTATTTCGCTGATCACTCACATGTAATCATACGCTGAAGCCTTAAGCGCTGGATTAGGCCCTGAATCTCTCATGGAAGCTAAAAAAGTGCTTTGTGACTTACGGGCCATCGTTTCCATCATTCAGGAATCTGGACTAACTCAAATCTTGAAGCAATTGACTACTGATAAAGCTTCACTTCCTGACAAAACCCAGCAACATGGATAAAACTACCAGAACTGTGAATCCTATCCGTTTCGTCATCTGGAATGCCAATGGCCTCAAGAACCATTTATATGAACTTCATAACTTTCTACAGTATCATTATATTGATATTGCTGTGATTACCGAAACTCGTGCGCAACAGTGTCACCGTCTCCAGGATTGCAAATTATTTACTTTACAGGTGTCATAGAATTAGTCACCGTGGTGGAGGTGTTTGTATATACGTTAAACGCACGTTACAATCATGTTTAATTAAGGAAAGCAGCGACTTTAACTGTGAACTAGTTACAGTTTGTGTGACGCTACTAGTTTTAAAAAATATTTATTTCAGTGCTCTATACAGCCCGCCTAATAACAGGTTAGTGATAACTTATTAAATGCTTTTTTGCCAAGTGATATCCCGACCGTCCTTGCAGGGGACTTAAATGCAAAGAATACTGCATGGAACTGTCGATGATCCAATGCAAATGGCAAAATTTTATATAATTACATACTTAAAAATCCTATTGTAATTCATGCACCGAATGATTATACTTATCGATCAGATAGACTCGAGTACTCTGATATATTAGACATCGCTTTGTCTACCACTACTATTCCTATTACTACTGAAGTACTTCAAGAACTTTCATCTGACCACCTGCCTGTTATCGCTTATCTGGGAATTACTAGAACTGAAGCTCGTACTCTTAACACAATTACTGACTGGTCCTCTTTTTGAAAAAAATCTTATGAGTGATCGTATTAATTCCTCTCTATAACCTCAATACAGGTGCAAGGAATTGAAAATGCGGTTTCTGCTGCACTTACTGAAAATATTAAAAGTGCTATTGCAGAAGCAAGTGACACTAAACCACTTAAAGATAATAGCCTCCGACTCCCTAATTACATTCGCATCAAGATTAGACAAAGCAACAGAATGAGAAAATCCTATCACGTGACCTGGGACCCACGAATGAAACGCAAAATCAATAAACTTAATAAAGAAACTCAGAAGGACATAAAAAATTATAGAGAAGAATTATGGTGCGAGAAATTAATTAATATTGACACTAGAGATGGGTCATTATGGACAATAATTAAGAATCTTAAATTTCACTATACTACAAATCGCCCTCTTACCCACAATGGAGCTCTCGCAGTCACTCATCAGGATAAAGCAAATGTGTTTGCTACCTACCTAGAGGAACAATTTACATCCAATGAATGGCCAAATAACTTTGAACATAACTTTGAAATAACTTTGACTTTGAACATAGCACATTGACACATGTCAAAAACTGGTTATATTCCCCCACTGCTACAAACTTAATTAAACTCACCAACCCAGCTGAGATTAAAGAAATTATCAAGAAACTCCATCCCAGAAAAGCACCGGGAATAGATGGCATCACAAATAAAGCTATGAAATGCCTTCCCAGAAACACTATCGGAATAATAGCAAGTACTTTTAATGCTTGCCTTACATCCTCATATTTCCCCAAATTATCGAAAACTGCTAAGGTCATCTTAATACCAAAGCCTGGAAAAAAAACACTCACAAGCTGACGGATACAGGCCCGTTAGTTTACTGCCTGTATTAAGTAAAATATTTGAAAGAATTATTCTTAGCCGAATGAAAAATTATCTTCAACTTCTTCCACCGGAGCAGTTTGGCTTTAGAGAGAAGCTCTCGACTGCAAAACAACTTCTATTACGGAGTATTCTGAAGCTGCTTTACATAATAAATTGAATGTTGTTATCCTCATGCTGGACGTAGCGAAAGCTTTCGACCGCGTCTGGCATGAGGAACTCATTGCAAAACTAATCAATCATAATTTTGAAAGAGAAATTCTTCTGATCATACTCTCATTTATCTCGGGCAGGACTTTTAAAGTGTACGTGAATGGAGCTTACTCCTCAGAACGTAATATGTAAAGTGGACTACTTCAAGGGCCTTGTTTAGACCTTGTACTCTATTTATTTTATGCTGCAGACTTACCTAAACCCAACAGTAACGACTCTATCCTTGCATGTTACGCAGATGATACTGCCTGGCAGTTAAGTCTGCGAACATTAACTTCGCTATTAAGAAACTACAAGCCTTCATTCCAAGTATCGAGTTATGGTGCGCGAATTGGAAAGTGAAAATTAATGCTAAAAAATCTCAATTATTGATCATTCGCAGAAGGAAAAGAAATAAGCAACTGAAGAATCACCTTCTCCTTTTTAATGAAAGAGTTCCTATAGTGAAAAGTGCCAAATATCTCGGAGTCACTCTTAATGATCGTTTACCTGGACTGACCATGTCAACAATGTTGGAACCACTGCACTAAAAATTATCAAGTGTTTGTTTCCTATACTCGGTAAATACTCTAGAATGGATTTGGGGAAGAAAGGACTTGTTTATCTCCCTACAATTAGACCTATTTTGACTTATGCATCTCCTGCCTGGGCAGCAGCCAAAGACTCAGATGTAAACAAACTCCAAATCGTTCAAAATAAACTCCTGCGTATTATCACGAACGCACACTATTATGTCCGCAACAAGACCCTCCATGAGGACCTCAGAATCGATACCATCGCGATACATGTGCGAAACTTAACGATAAATTCTTCAAAAATGCCTAGGAATGTAACTTCATGAATCATTTCAACATGTTTCATTATGAAGTTCTCACCGATAATCGATTTCTTCGACCTTTCGCGGCCTACATAGTCAGTAGAAACGAAAATTTCCCCACCTAATACCAAGTTAGTGGAAATTTTGATCTGTACATAGTGATTTTACTCTTATTTTCTTTTACTTTACTCCAGAATACTGCTTTTCTTCAATATTCAAGAAGCACTTCTAAAAGTCAGCGCCTGGGAGAGTGATCTCCCACGTGACCTAAGAACTTGAATTCTATGTTCAGCCTTGTTGTAGGACTTTCTGCATTCTTTAGGACTGAAATTTCTTGTATTGCTTATATTTATCATATTGAAGAACATGAGAAAAATGGTGATTTTTCGCTATTGCAACCCATTATTTAATTTTTTACTCTTTCCATCAGTTTTGGACAAGTTTACGCTAAGCGAATCAGAATGCCTGATTCCGCTCACGTGATATGTGACTTATTCTAAGTATGCTCTGGGATAGACATCTTGAATTTGTATATATGTATTTTGTGTTAACATTTGTTCTGCATTTATTCTGTTATATTCTAACTCTTACTAAAATTATTACTTTCCTGGAACATTCTCGAATGTTAATGAATGATACTGTGTTACAAAGATTCCAAGATTGATTGAAAGATTTCAATAATTTTTAATCATACATGTCAAAAAATAAATAAACTAAGTTATAAAATTTTGCACTAAGATAATCATTTTGTTTGTGAGTACATTTACATGTGAACAGATTTTTCCTTTCACTGTTGAAAATTGATAAGCAAATAATCCAAATGACCAATTGATACCTATAGTCAGTGATGAAGATAATTTCCAGTAATTTCCCTCCAAGGCTACAAATTTTATTAGAATCTAATACCATCATAAGTCAAGTTGTAGTAAGAAATAAGAAGTTTATATTTATTTTCTATAAAGTATATATACTTTTATTTATGGGCCGAGGACAAAATTTAATTTATAAGAGAAAGGAAATAGGTTGCCATTATTTATTCTCAAGTTTTTGTCTCTCTTTGAAACGTTTCTCTGTAAACCTAGAAATTTTTCATAATTTGTTTATTTTTAGCCTAAATTTAAGTAAATTATTTAATGATTAATTAAACATATTATAATATTTTGAAAGGAATACAAGTCTATGAATTTAATACTTAGGTGGTAATATGCTTTAATTATAATGTGTAACCAAAAAATACGTCTTGCAAGCACCAAATTTTGAACTTCTGATAAGTATAAATAGAAAGTTGAGTTTCCTTTTGATATTATTATTATTATTTATGCCACATTTTTATAAATGTTTAGTAATCGGAATTGACCATTTATTTAAAGTATTTTTATGTTGTAAATAAATTTGATTTTTTCATTTTGTTTAAAAAAAAAAAAGGAAAAAGAAAAAAGAAAGAAAGAAATTAAAAAATTAAAAAAAATCCGATCCTCATTTTTTTTCCAAATCGTTTATGAAGCATTTCAGTTCGACTCTTTTATACTAATCCGTTATATTTCAATCCATTATGTCCAAAGAATGAAAGAGGATTAAACCTTTCACTTGAGATGACGTCAGCAACTTCTGTTAAAATTTAAGTTATCATGTCGATCGATGAGCTCAACCAAGTAACGCATTTTTTTTTAATCTGTGAAACGTAACCGAACAGAAAAATGCCGATTAAATCTCAGTAATTATGTCCGGAATACCGGAAAATATTGCTCATTTTGTTCATTCAAGCAAAGGAATTTCAATTTAGGTTTAACAGATCGCTTACCTATAAATTTCTCCTTCCGTTAGCAATCGTTAAGAAGTTTTGTGATAGGTTAATAATGGGGCATTTTAATATAATTAATTTCAGTCACGAAGAAATTGCGTTTTCTTTCCAACTATTTTATGTAATGTTCATATTTTACGTTTTTCCAGATTAAAATTTCTACTATTCAGAGAACAAAGCAGTTACGTTTGTAGGAAAACCCCTGAAAGTATCTCACTCTGCTCCCGTAAAATATCTTTAAGATTCCTAATATATAGTAATTCTTTTCTACTCTTACTGAGAAATCTTGCTTTATTCTGGTAAAAGAGTCTTATTCAAGCTCTGGTTGTATAATGCATATATTAAAAAAACTGATGTTTTTACCACATGATCTTTTTGTACGCCTTATTAAATTACGCACATTTTTGCTGCAGATCTTCATTATTTCTGAGAATTAGTTTAAATTAATTAACAGAGTACTCAAAGCAAATTGAAAATGGCATCAAATACTGAAAATTTTGAAATTAAATTTTCCGCTCCAATTTTGTCGTAAGGAATTCAAACTTCTTAGAATTTTATTTTTTCATAACGAGTATAAAACCTTTCCAGATATAAGTATAGGAACCAGGAGACCGTATTAAAAATTCAATTTCGTTGTTTGTTCAAAACGAATTTTTTTAAATATAGCATTGCCAAAACATGACTATTCTCGTCATATAAAATACTTCTTTAATTGGAAGTACAATGACGATTCCGAAATTAAAGACCCAGCACAGATTTTTAAGACGAGTAAGGCAGTCCGTACATATTGCCTGCTGCAAGAAGAAAAGGAGGTGCCAAACTAGATGCTATAGCTGGCCCATATACAAACTTTCATCATTCTACGACTAAACGTTTTTGCCTTATGCGATATATTACTTATGTGAATACATACTATGTCCATATAGAAATCACGAAAAAAATCGCTTTCGAATTCGTATTAAATTCACTTTACGATCCGTTTTAGAAAAAGAAGTCCTCTATTCTGTCCGTACATACAAACGTCATGCACGCACATCATGCGAATGCATTCGGGGACGGTCAAGGGAATAATTTCCGTTAAAATACGATGCTCGAAATTTTTTCGCGATTGCAATGCTTCCTTTACTTCATTCAAGGAAGAGAAAAGGGAAAATATGATCTCCGTGTATTAGGTTAACCTTACAGTTACATCTCAACAAAAATTCGGGTGTTTTCCTTTTTGCCTTTAATGACTTGGTTTCTAAAAGAGATTTTCGAACGAAGCTTTATACTTGTTAATTATCTCTTTCAACCAATGAAAAATTGGTGTATCAGCTGTTTCATGTTGATTAAAAGACATTGCTTTGTGGCCGGACTTACGGAAATTTTCACGGAAATGTCCCCAGACTTAGTAGACTTACGGAGTACTTGCTAAAATTCTTCGTTTCTTTTTTCATTAATTTTGAGATTTGGGGTGTAATTTAAAAAGATGGGCATTTTCTCAAATAATCTACGAACTCCTTTGTTGAATATATTAGTTTGTTTCGTTTCTTCTCCGTCGAAGTTTTTTACAAGCATGATAAATTCCCAAAATACTACTTATCAGATCATCTATGTCTATTTAAAAGGTTAATTTTAATTATAAAAACCGTGTGGTATTAAGTGCAAATTGCCGCTGCAATCATTCCAACTCAAGAAACCACGAAGACAACATAGGAAATACTTCAGCAGCATTTATTCTCTCAGATCTCAATAATGCTAACGATATAGAATTATAATTTTTCATCGCAGAGTATTCTAGTAACTTCAAAAAGTGTTTACGATGATTGCTCTATTTTATTCCCCAAGGATGAAATATTAAAATGAACACATCAGATAAGTAGCA